TAGGCGGTAAAGGTTGTTCTTGCACATGGAAGCTATTTCGAATTGCTGGACGACCAAGATGGTGCTGCGATGTAGAGGCCGAAAAACACAGTCGTGTTATCACTGTCGAAATTACCACTCGCTCATTTCTAGCGATGTATTCTCTGAACTCAACACACAGTATCACATCAAAGCAATGAAAAAGTTCGGCACGTCGTCATGTGTATTGCAACAATACATTTTTTTTTTGCAAGTGCCAGCGGTTCATTTCATAAGGAGCACACGCCACGTGCACGCTGTTGCAGACATGGGCTGCACTTGAGAACAGCCGCGATAATCATGAAATTCGAAACATTAGCTACTTTTGAGAGAAATGCTCTGCAACGTTCTGCACTTTGCATGCGACAAACAAGCAACACAGTGGTGCTTTGGCACATCCAACATGGTGGCGAAAACCGGTTCTTCGCCACGTCCACCCCAAGAGACTCCGGCAGGGAAAGGAGGAAGCGGCGCAGATCAAAGGAATGCTGTATTTTTCCGAAGGTATAGGGGCTTTAATTAGGGGCTTTAATCTCATCGGCGCCGCTCGTGTGCCATATTTACTCGCGTAATGAACGCACTTTTTTCCTAGAAAAATCTGAGCAAAGTTTGGGGGTGCGTTTATTATGCAGGGTAAATTTTAATAAAACTTTTTTGAGAGGAGCAAAAAAATGCGGTAATAGAAAAAAAAGGTTAGGTCACTTAGCCTTTCGCAATTGACATACGTGTACACTATTTGGAAACAGCTTTTTTGTTGCACTTTACTCATCTTTGGTGGTTGATGGTGCTATCTTCTGGAAGCTGTCTCCGCGCCGCCCGTGCACGCTATAAAAGCGTTTTGCAGCTGTATTTTCTCACAATCTTTTACTGCGAGAGTGGCGCCCTAAAGCGTGCACTACGACGCACTTTGCCAACTTCGTGGCAACCTCGCACGAGGACCGTGACAATGCCGTTAACATTGTAGCAAGTGACCAACATAGCAGCAAGCTACCCCCGAAGCATCAGAACAAGCCATCGATAACAAGATTAACGACAAAATACGGTTGCTTCCTGGCTTTTACATGAAAAGTTCCTGTACGGGCGGGTAACAAGCGAAGCGAGAATCGGGGGTTCTACCATGTTTTGGAAATCGTCACGATCTTTTCTGGACCACTAGCGATTTTTTCTGGTTTTCCAGAAACCTGCGATGCGATAGCGACAAATGACCCTTCGTGACAGCAAGTCCTGTCATCATCGCTCGAAGATCATGTGCACGTGGTTGGGATTTTAAATTTGGTATTCACAGGAAGCAACTGTTAGTTGGCACGGGCAGTTTCGTGACCTTCGCTTGCTGTGTGCTTATCACCTTCGATGTCTCTACACTCGCACCGTTCGCGAACCCCGCTATGGCGCACCGATAGAAAGAAAAACAATACGGCACGTGGCAACGGGCGAAGGAGGGGAGGGAGCGAGCTGAGGTGGTCGAGGGGGGTTTGCATAATAATAATAATAAAAAAAAAAAAAAAACGAAAGAGATGCAACGAGTGAGGAAGCGCCAGCTATCAGTTCGCAGGACTGCAGCAGATGAATGTAGGGGGTGTGCTTATTACGTGGGGAAAAAATAGATATTTTGATGACTAAAGTTGGGGTGCATTTATTATGCGAGTGTGCTCCTTACGTGAGTAAGTACGTTATTTTTATTTGCGGGTAGAACAAACATACGAGGTGCAAAAGATGTGCAGAAATTTGCACATGCGCAGCCTTTTGGGAAACGTAAACTACTCACCGAATAGGCGTTTTTTGCCTCTGTCTCGCAAATCCACCGTCCATGGCTGCCAAGTCTTCCGGATTACCCGGGAGATTACCCAGGAGACTTCCGGATTTTGAATGTTTCTCCCGGTTGTACGGGTCATAGGAAAATCTCCTGGAAATCTAGTTTTCCCCAATGTGTCGAGTGCTTTGTCTGGCCACTTGGGCAAAGTTGTCTGGCCATATAGTAAAAAGGATTTTTTTTTAACGATGGTAGCAAGGTTGAACTCGGTTCAATGTACGTTTTCGAGATGCGAAAATGGTGCCAGAACATGCGCCCTGTTGAGTAGGAGCAGTGAAATCGCGCATGGCTGTGGAGTCTTTGAAGGTCACGCACATTAACGAAAAGAAAAAAAAGAGAAAACTTATGGACCTTCACTCTCCCCCACCTGTATCTGGAGGGGTAACTGTGCATGCTTATGCCCACACCTCACCACACACTTTCTGTACCTTTTCTTTATGAGTCTCCTTTCCGCTCTCCCTCAAGGAGCTAAGCTGAACCTTGCTTCAGCAAAGGTTCATGGAACCTAATTGCAGGGCTTTTTGAAGCCGCTCGCCACGATTAACCAGCGCTTCTCCCTTTTGCAACTCAGAACTTTTTTACTTATCTTTTTATAATCTGACTGTTTTCTCTCACTGTCTTTTTTATCCCAATCTCCCTTATCGAGCGCTCTTCCCCCATATCCTTACATTTTTCCATCATCATTTTTGTTTTTTTTCCTGTTTTTTTACTCAACCGCAAAGGTTGCCGAAAAGTGCCTGTTTTCTTATTGATGATTGATATCTGGGGTTTAACGTCCCAAAACCGCCATATAATTATGAGAGACGCCATAGTGGAGGGCTCCGGAAATTTCGACCACCTGGGGTTCTCTAACGTGCACCCAAATTTCAGCACACAGGCCTACAACATTTTCGCCTCCACCGGAAATGCAGCCGCCGCAGCCGGGATTCGATCCCGCGACCTGCGGGTCAGCAACCGAGTACCTTAGCCACTGGACCACCGCGGCAGCGCCCTGTTTTCTTAGGCGTCGAGGCTACGAGTGGAGAAGGTCGAGCTGGGGGAAGGCGAGTGGTCGGCAGGACTGTACTATGATCCCTTGCCCAACGAAATGACTCATAAGCAAGTGACAAGCGTCGCACGCAGAGCCATGTTATCGCATATGCCCTTTGTGCGGCAGTGACCGCCGGGTCGTTTCATCTCTGCTTCAGCCGCGTTCGTCCCTAGCGCTAGGGCGCTTTTACCCGCATGTAAAACAGACGATGTTATCGGTTTGGACTCTGTACAGATCAGCGGCGACCGCAAAATTCTGCTGACACTGTTCATATAATTGTTGTCGCAATACCCCCCCCCACCAATGGTCGACATATTGTATACCCTCCTTCCGCGGGCGAAACATATTTTATGTGCACCTTCCCCTGTTGAGTAGATCTCACGGATTGCGTTTCTCCAAGCTTGGCAGCTATGACCACGTCATTCGTGGCTACTCACAATATCCGCTTTGAGGACACTCCAGCTGCCGAGTCAAAATAAGCTGAAGTGCTTATTTAGCCTTAATCTTTCCAGTAGGATTGCCGAAGCTCGAGTAACAGACTCGCATGCCGAAGCCATAAAGATAAAAGGACCCTGATGGGCTGTATACGTGGCGCCTTTTAGCACTGCTAAGATGAACCATGGAGGTCACAGAATTCTTATTGCAGAAACATTGTGCACTCTACTTCTTATGTACCGTATTTACTCGCATAATCCTCGCACTTTTTTTTTACCAGAAAACCGATGCAAAGTTGGGGGGTGCAGGAATTACGCGGGGAAAACTTTCCACGAAAATGCAGAGAGCGAAAAAGAAAACAAAGTGGCCGCAAATCGGGATTCTCACATTAGCAACTTACAGCAAGCTTTAAGAAGTACTAATTAGAACTTACCTCAACAATAAAAGCAGAGGTTCAACACAAGGCAAGATTTATTTGAGACACAAAAAGTGGAAGCAAATAGTCGAGAATCAGAATAGCATACGTGAAGCTTGTTGGCGTTACGGGCGTAGCGGCAGCGGTCGGCGCTCAACAGGAGCCCTCAAAAGGTAAGTGTAGGACGTCAGTATTGGGCTGATGGCTATTTGACAGAATCGTCCGCAGTTTCGTTTTGAAGAAATAAAGTTTACCATCAATCCCAGATTCAGGGACACGGCAGGCCTAACGCGTCTTGGTGGCTTTCAGCTGCCGTCACCAGTAGCTAACACAAAACTTGTAGGCTTCGAAGGGCCTACCGGCTGCCCTGTTGCCATTGTTTAGCACATGATCTATCACTTGCAACTTGAAGCAGCCGTGTGGCTTCAGTATCGCCCCATAACGTGCCAAGATTACCGACACAACATACAAAACACGCCTCAACGTGCACTGGCCACTTCGGCTTGGCTTGGATGGAATCTCCGTGCAATAGTACGGTTGATGCTTAAGAGATGGCGTGTGCTATCATCATGAGTGGTTGGAACGAGCAGACGACATTATTGCGGCAGTTTTCGGGGATGCGATAATTACTCTAAAAAAAAAAAATCGTATTTTTCTTGGGCGATGTGGGGGGTGCGAGAATTATGCGAGTGCGAGGATTACGCGAGTAAATACGGTAAATGCCTTGCAGTGACATAAGTATGAATGAGTTGCCTTTTTAATTACTTTTATCCTCAAAAACACTAGGCAAAACAAACATGTCCATGGCTGTGGTTGCACGAATGGTCACAAGATGTTAACACCATCATCTGGTAACCCGCTGTTTTTACGTTCCTTAGCGTACATTCAGATGCTTAAATGCTAAAAAACGCCTTTTATAATTTTGCCGCAGTGGTGATTCAACCTGATCTAAATAAATATAGTTTAAATGCAGTTATCTCCATTTAGTGATTTGTGCAAATAGCACGGTTAGCAATGTCAATGTAAAAACTTGGCAAGAGTGTCTATATAGTTGGTATCACAAAAAAAATATTTTTCCAAAGTTCTTTTTATTGTAATGTGTATTCTGAGTTGTTTTAAATTCTGTTCTCCCTCCAAATTGCTGCAGTTTTTTTTTCGAGGTTTCTAGGATGACATTTTAAGTGCCGCTAACTCCTCCAAATCAAAGTTGAAATTTTTCTTTTCTAAAGCTGCTGCCAAGTCAAATTCAGCTGTCCTACCTCTGTAGTGTTTTTTTTTTTTCCTCTGTCCAGGTTCGCATGAAGAAGCATCGTTGGTACAAGCGGATCCTCAAGAGCAGCGACCCACTCATTCTCTCACTTGGGTGGCGACGTTTCCAGACCATGCCAGTATTTTCTACACAGGATCACAATGGTCGCAACCGCTTTTTAAAGTATACGCCCAAGCATCTTCATTGCAACGCTACCTTTTGGGGTGAGTGGTCATGCTTCTAATTGACTTTCCAATTATTCTGGACTGCACACTGTTAAACGAGTAATTTTAATGCTTTCCTGACAAGCAAAATTATATGCACAATGCAACATGTGTCGTAACTAGAGCTGTGCACATGGCAAAATTTTGGATGCAAAGCGAATTCGAATATTGAAGTGAGTGGGAATCGAATTGAATATTTTTTAAATATTTGTAAAAGTTTTTTAGAATACTTCAAAGCAAAATTGGAAAAAAAGTAGGGAAGGGTTTCTAAGCATATTCTGTTGAGATAGCAATGTGAAAGTGTGTCTTTTCGCTAGGTTGATGCAGAACTGGCGTGGTGGTGTTATCAAGAATGAGGCTGGGCAAATTGTATTTATTTATAGGATTTGGTGCAACCAAAGTGTTGCCAACAAGACTTTACAGGTGAAGGCACATATGCTATTTTCTTCAATGGAAATACAACTGATGTGGCGGACAAGGGTGTGCTCTCGGATATAATGAAGTATGGTGTTCGAAATCTGCCTCGTGGAAGAAAATATATAAGGACATCTGCAATTTTCGATGAGAAAAATTTTCGTGAAATTTTCGTGGAATTTTTCGGACTTGCTGCCCAAACTTCAGGTCCAAGATAGCATTGAGCATTGACTCTCCACCTCTGCCACATCTATAATCGCCATGTTGGAAGCAGGGTTTCCTCAAGTCAGTATTTGCGACTATAGCTGAGCGTGAAAGGCAGCTTTGCTGCAGAGTTAGTGTAATGAGGTGAAGCATATTGAAAATCTGAAGGGGTCATTTTCAATCGGACATTGCCTGTATTTATTCGTCATTGGAAAGCTCGAATAACAAGAGTTCCAGTGCGAATTGAAATAAATAGCAAACGGTATTAAAAAATACTTGAAGTTTTGAATGTTTGCATACCTCTAGTCATAACTCATTAAATTCGGGAAGCACAAACATTGGGTACAGGTGCGTAAATGTTACATTTTCTAATGCTATACCATAATACAGTCGACTTTCGTTCATTCAAACGTGAAGGGACCTCTCAATTTGTTGGCCATTTGCTGCTCATCTGACCTTTTAAAGAAATTGTGAATTGCCAACTTCATTGCTATAGGTATGTGCCTTAAGCACGAAGCTCTATATGGCAGATGGGAAGCATCACGGTTTAGCATGCGTGTGCTTCATTTCAAATATTTGTTTATTTGGAAAGCCTGTTTCTTTGAAGGCCTCAGGTGCTTATTTTTCATTTTTTAGACTGTTAGGATTATTTAAGCACACAAATTTTTACATGGTAGTGGGAAAGCAGCAGGTATTTCTTGGTGCGAACCTGCAAAAAGTATGAATTAACCGAAATGATGGAGTTTGAATTAAAAGGCTTTTGTATCGAAAGAATAGAAGGCCAACCAAAAAATTTAATTTTGTTTGAATTAACCGAAAGTATGAATTACCAGAGTTTGAATTATCGAGAGTCTACTATACTCGCATAATAAGCACACACCCAGTTTGTTCGCAAGAAATATATTTTTATTTATTTCCACTCATAATAGGTGCACCCCAACCTAAATTTGGCCGTGTTCAGTAGTTCTGTACCGTATTTGCCTCGTTTTAATTTGATGCCTGTCATGGATTTGTTCTCGGAAGCGCTTGCGAAGGATGGATTTGACAGAGTCGGGAAACTGGCATGGCAAAAACAAACACACTTTATCACACCAAATAAAATGGCAAACCGTAATCTAACACTCAGATTTCACTCCTCAAAATGAAACAAGTATGTACAGAATAATTGGCTATACAATTAAGCCTGCATATAACGAAATCGATAAATTCCTAGAAAAATTCGTTATAAAGAAGATTTTGTTATATGCAGGTACGAAAATTTGAAAAATAAACGCGCAAGTTAAACAAAAGGGGGACTAAAGCCAAAGCTAACCCAAAACACTCATTTTACAGTCAGAAACTGCATTACTATTGTGATAGCAATTACATGGTCGCTCTCAGCGGGTTTTTGCCATCGCCGCCATGTTCCGTAAGAAGTCCAAATTGATAACATGTCCCCGCGTATCGCAACTTGCACGAGCGGGTAAAAGCGCGCGAACGCTGCTGAAGCAGAGATCAAATGAGTCGGCCCATTCCTATCGCCTGGAAAGTGCATAAGATAACATCTCCCGCGTGTTAGAACTGCCGTTGAATGCTCAAATAGAAATAAACCACCCGTCTTGAACGAGCATGAAACAACGAGGGGATGGGGGGGGGGGAGAACTGATCGAGTAGCAATAATGAACTTTGATTTTAAGGGCGGTCATGACCGCTGGCGCGCTTGCCATCTCGGCGAGTATCAGTGCGTTTTCAACGCGAAGTGACTGTGTGAAAAGAGCACTTGTCCCTGGAGAAGCCGTATTCGCTCACACCAGCATTTTTTAGGAGTTCCGAGATATCAGATCGAAAAAAGTTGGCTGCCAGCTTTACTTCTTATAACAAAAAAATTGTTTGCTATCGCGCTCATTGCATTCCATTCAATGCGCTGTCGTGTTGTTGCCAGAACTAATCGGCTAATTGTGAATCGGAATTCGTTATACGGAGGTTCTTCATAAGCAGGTTTAACAGTACAAGGAAATTGTAGCTAACTTGCATCAAGACAAGTTCAGTCTTACTGTCCCTAGCCACAATGGCGTCTCGGTGGCTACTCTCGTGCTCTCTCGCAAAAGTAGAAGTGGTACAGCCTCGCCGTCATTGTCGTGGGCGCGCGTTCGCTTGACGAATAACTTGGTCTGCATAGCTGGTGCGTCGGTCCTTATCTGAATTTTCGGCCTCACTAGGCCCCGCTCGTCAAGGACTCTCCTGCTGACGCGTCCACTTGGCTCACTGGGGTTGCTCCCTTCCTAATGGGATGCGGGGAAGCTGCAAGCTCAGGAACTGCTGGGAAGGGTGCGGCAAGTCCGGGCAACCTCGCTCGTGACCATCTCCGAGGTCGGCGGCCGCTTCCCGAGCTTTTTGTGCAGACATCCTCAGAACTGAACGGTCATGCTGCTCACGTCTTTGTAGCGACGCTCATTTCCCACGTATTCGCAGCTCGGTGTCCCAACACACGGAGTCAGTTCATCCTCGAGAATTTTTTTTTCTTGGCTCGGGTCATGTGCCATGAGCCTTTTTCCGACCAATCTCTTGCGTCTACGTGCCTGGTGCGTGTGCACTCGGGTGACTCTCCTCTCCTTGTGCACCGTCACCGCGCTTTCGGGTTCAGCACGCACTTCGTGCCCCTCCTTTACTCATCACAATGCCCTTTCAAGTTAACTGGAGCAAGGACAAGAAAGAGATTGCAGCAGCGCTGTGCCAGCTGTGTCGTATTCACCGAGTGAGGAATTGGGGTAGTTGTCTGGGCGTTGGAGTAACCTTTGCATCGATGCGAGCGTGGCTCCGGCCACTTTCCAGTCACGCGCTCCGCAGGGAACGTGCGATCACATTCTCATCAAGGGCACTTTGAGTTTGCTGTCGGGAAAACAGTCGCTATAACAAATGCTACCTCGTTCGCAAATTTAAAAGCTTTCGGTTATGGACACGAGCTTTTGCCTTTGCTGCCACTACGCAGACTTGGACAAGCTCAGCGCACTTTTGTCACCCTTGATTTCCTAGCTTCATAGTAAACAACGTATCACGTGCGCTGATCTTTGATCAGTATTTGAGATTGATCTTTTCTTCATGTTGTCTCGAACCAATCTTCATGTTGTTTTGAACAAACTTTCTACGACAACATGCCGATCCATAGGCTTGGCCTAATCAGCATTTGTTGCTTTTCGGTGGCGATCGCGTGGGATCAAAGTTGTGTTTTGTATGGAATAAATGTAACTCTTTGTGGTGGCTTCGCTTGAAGGAAAGGGGGGGTATGGTTGACGCTTGTAACACTCAAATAGTAGTTTGTGATTTGATTGCAACGCCTGGGATATGGGCTGCGAGCTCGTGAAATGGAACGATCGGTACTGTTCAGCGCACATGATTTCGGTCGTGATAATTTGTACAATCTAGGTGGCCTGAACGTAATTAGTGAATTTCTGTGATGATGTTCTCTATTGTCCTTCTTCTCCCCCCCCCCCCCTTTTTTTTTCGATTGCGGGTCTTTCGATGTTGAAAGCAAACCGCATCGCATGCCTCGATTCTCGGGTCATGTGAAACTGCATGCTGCTCAACACATTTTACGCTAATGCAGCCTTGAGAGTTAGTTGTTTAGACTGTAGTGCAGATATTCGGGACTTTGGCGACTTACGTTATCAGCGGTCAATGTTATAGTCGGAAATAAAATTTTCGGAAATTTCATCACACGTTGAGTGCACCCCAAATTTGGAGTCTGATATTTTGGAGAAAAGGTGTACCTGTTATGCTAGTAAATACTATGCTAGTAAATACAGTACTACCATGGGAAAAGTGACTGTAGCAAATTTTGAGGGGCTCATCACCATTTATTAACCCCTAAAGGCATAATAAAGGCAATGCATAAGGGGGCTACACATTAGTGCCGTAATTATTTGTGTCACATGAAAGTGCAGCTAAAGGAATTCTTTTTTTATTTACTATAATTCGCACTTGTATATTTATTGTATTATATCAGCCCGAAAAACGTATAATGTATGGCGGCCATGGCTTATTTTCTCACATGCCTTCAGTTGAGAACCAGAAACCAGTTGCGGCATCATGAATGAATTTTGGTTGCCACTATGTATTGGCTCAACAAAAGTCTCCCAACTCATCTTTATCACAGAACATCAACACGATTTTGAGCTGATGGTGGTTGGTGGTGAAGCTGGTAACTGCAAGCAGCTCCAGAAATTATGGTACTCTTTAAAACTTGTTACACTGGTGTGCTAGCTAAAAAAAAAGACAAAAATTTGGGGTAAGCGAGCGTGTAGGTAAGCTCCAGTTCTTTCACTGCAGATTGTTTTTGAGCTCTGCAATATCTCCAAACGAGTAGGGATGACCTTTTTTCTCACTACTCAAGATTGCTTGCAAGA